CATTTAGATATATATTTCGTTTCAACTGTTTTCTACTGTCTGTTTTTACTAGTATAGTTTATGTTTAGAGTTGTTTAAAACCTTATTATTTTTTTACTTAGAATGGCGCAATCAACGAAACAGTTGAACGATAGACTACATTAAAAAGATATTCTAAATTAAGTGATCAGATAGAATACACGCCATACAAAGTCATATCTATGAAAAATACAAACACATAAAATGGGGTTGTCTTTGTTGGCTGCCTATCCAACAATATGAATGTTTTTTCCCAGAGATTAAAATTAATTAATGAAGAAATCAATATTAATGGATACTGAGACTATAAATACGTTTAAAGAATAATTTCTAAAATAATGTTTGATATCAAGGATTTTATTTCTCTATTAAAAAAATCATATAAAAAAAGGGTAGCACAGTATGATCGATGCACAGTGTAGACGTGGCATAGATAGGACAAGTATAAATGATATCTGACAGTGATTAAAATCATTATCATAAAAAACACTTCGATGCCACTCTGTTTGTAGTGTTTAATTCTAAGAAATTGGCGAATAATTACAAAAGAAAAATCTACTCCTAGTTCCTTAATTATATCCTGATAGTGGTTAGTTGATTTAAAAATATAATATATGAATAAATACTAATAATAGTAATTAAATTTAGTATGATATTGTTATTCAATAATTTAATATTGTAATTTATACAGAGAAGTTATAAAAATATTAAAGTAGTTGTATATTTCTTTACTTTTGACGTGTATAAATATTTAAAGTACTTGATGCAATATTTTTCAATAAAAACTGTTTGTTACTAATGAATAAATACATTGGACTACAAGGAACTTTTATCAGAAGCAAAAATATACTTTTCTATTTCAACTTTTCGCGCTGTTTTCAAATCTGTAGTTAAACTTTCTCTATCACTTTTAATTTTTAATATTATTAATAACTAGTAAAAAATAAGTATTAACATATAAAAAAAATAATTAAAACAAAAAAAAAAAATTATATCTATAATATAATAATACTGATCTAATTTTTAATATGTTACAAATAATCAATGCAAAATGACATTTTAACCTATTTTTTGGGTCCTTTGGATATTTTTTTGTGAAAACTTATAATAAATATAGTTCAACTTGTTATCATAACTTTTAGCTCAACTTACAAGTTTGAAATGGACATCATTAAATAGAAAATTCTATAAGAATTTAAAAAATGTTATAGTTTATATTAATATGCATTCAAGAAATTTTATAATTACTATTTATAGTAAATTTATCAAAAAAGCTCGATTTTTTTGCATTTTTATTGTAAAAATAGGTCAAGTAATAGTTAAGAACATAAATGATAGTCACATATAAAATCATATGTTAAAATAATTATAATATGAATAGGAAATTTCTTCTCACGAGGATTGATTACAATGATGGGATCCTTGATCTTTATTGAAATTATTCAATCTAAATTATTGAATCTAAATGTTATTGAAATCAAATGAGTTGAAAACTTTTTTCTAACTCAAAAAATATTAAGAAAAAAATGCAGAAAATTCATAGTCTCAAGCGGGATTGAACCTTGAATCCCAAGCGTATAAGACATAAGTGTTACTTACTCGGCAACCATACGTCGCTTCCGTCGACCAAAAAAATTTGTAACATTTATAAAAATCTGTGTACTCCCCTTGTAAGGTATATAAAATAAAATACAAAACCCACAAATATAGTATATTTTTGAATACAGTGACTATTTTCACCACGATGGCTAGTTCAGATGTTAATTTTTTTTTCAACTTAATTTGTAATACATAAACTTTAATTTAAGATATATTTATATATAAGTGTCAGTATTTCCGGAACATTTTCAAAATCTAAGATGAAAAAGATAATTTTTTTAAACCCCGCTTATAGACAGGTAAAAGGACAAGATTTCACAAAAATATATCAAATAATTAGTAAATACCCAAGTTATCTATGAAAAAAATTATATAACAGATACAAAAAAAATAAATAAATAACAGAAAAAAAACACACATCATAATAAAATTATTACCTTCTCAGCACCCGTTCTATTACTGACGCCCTGGCCATCACTAAATATCTTCATTACCGTTTTTGCTTTTCCGCCAACTGTTTTCATCTATCATTACGAGCCTGGATCTAAACTCTGACTCGTGATACTCAGATGTTCGACACCATTACCACAAGATCTCATACGGTCCACTCATTACTATCAACAACTTCATTAAACTTCAGCTGAGTTTTATATTATTTTTTAATGTTATTAGCTTCGATGCGAAGCTGAGAAGGTATTGGTTTTACTCGATTTTATATTTTATATTTTTTACTTTAAAATGCTATAACTTTTTAAAAAATGTTTAGATTAATACAATTTTTTCATGGAAAGTAGTATTTATATACATCTTCCATTCGACATACTTTTTTTTAAAAATCAGACCATTTCCCTTAATACAGGGGGGGTTCAAACATAAAAATGCATATAGAAAGTAGAACTTTTTCAACTTAATTTTTGAAAGTGTTCCTGAAATACTATCACTTTTATATATATCTTAAATTAAAGCTTATGTAATATACTTTAATATTAAAAAAAAAAAATTTCGGACTTTATTTTGTCTTCAAGGTGAAAATAGCTACCATATTCAATATATGCTATTTTTGTGTTAAAATTCTTGGTTTTGTATTTTATTTTATTTTATTATAAGGGGATTACACTGATTTTCATAAATATTATATTAATAAAATTTACATAGTATAAAAAATTAATCATATTTGAATTTTTTTGTTTCTTTGAAGTCGAGAAAAATAACTTTAAAATTTGAACTAGCTAAATTACCATTCTTATTAAGTGACGAATGCGACGTACGGTTTCTGAGACGGTAATACTTGGTTCTTTCACGACTGTGGCACTAAATTTTTTCTTAATTATTTTTGAGTTAGAAAAAAATGTTTAACTCATTTGATTTTTATCTCATCTAGATTCAATAACTTCAATAAATATCAAGGATCCCATTACAGTAGTCTCCTCTCGTGAGAAGAAATTTATATTAATATTATTTTACTATGTGGGTTTTTTTTTTGTAGCAATCATTTATTTTCTCAGTTCTCTCTTGACCTACTTTTTTGACAAATTTTTTTTTTAATTAAACACTATCTACAGATTTGCATCGAAGCGTTTTTTATGATAGTGATTTTAATCACTGTCAAATATCATTTATACTGGACCCAACTGTGCTGGGTTTTTATTATTTATTTTAATTTAGTTTAACTATTTTGTTTTATACTACTTCGCCGGTCATTGGTATTTAAGGACCCCCGTTACCCCTTAAATTTAAGATACTCTTTGAAGAACTAATATATGTGGTTATTTGTTATTTAATTATTGTCTACTCTCGTTACTTTTTGGATGTGCGGTTAGCCGTCATCCTCCAAGGTGACCCCTCTCCCGCTTCAATAATAGTGATTTTAACAGGCTTAAGGTAAAACGGCATTATATCTTGGTGCGCAATTAATTGTCCTACGGTCTAGCTGCCTCGTACGAAACATTGGTCCTTCGGCCCTAATATATCTCAGCACTAATAAATATTCATTTCAAACACAACACATAAAGATAGATGCCAAATTTCACGAATAACAACAATTAAAAAATTATATAAAAATACAAACTAAGCAACAATAATAAATAATTTAATTATAAATGAAACAAATGTGTTTGTAAATAGGAAATTTAATATGTAACTGTGATTTTGAATTTAACTAGATAATAGGGGAAAGCAATAATCTTATCCCCTAGAGAATCATATATGACTAGAGGACAAAAAACAGCTAAATAACAAATTAAAAAACACAACTAATTGAACAACCTATTAGTTACTATCATAAAATTATATAAGAATAATTTTTTTAATGCAATTAACACTAGTATACTATCATAAAACTTTTTTATATTTCCCCAATATATATATATATATATATATATATATATATATATATAATTTATATATTTTAATAGAAACAATAATACACAATTAAACAGTATTTCACTGTTAGGGGCTTCCATTAATCAAAATTTCAAAGAATTTCAAACGACAAATATGATGAGAAAGAATTGCGATAGACTTTTAGAGTAATCATCTATTAATATTTCTATATAAGAGTATTGTTTAGACAGAATATATCTTTAAACCTAGGGTTAGTAAAAACTTAACTTGACATGTGAATATATTATGAACAAGTTATTAATAAAAATGTACAACAATATTTTAAATGCAGTTTATATGTCCATGGATGACAGCAACCTTAAAAGTTGATTATATAACAAGTTGCAATGAATCAGTCCGATTGTTTTTAGAACACTCACTATTACATATTAGCGGGGTAGTTTTATAATAAATAAAAACTTTAGATTGCGCAACTGAACTCAACAAATTTAACATGAAAAAAACACAAACATCGAACACAACTCTAAACACATTTATTGCTATAATATAAAATTTTTGCCTTAAATTTACAAAGAGTTATAAGGCAATAAAGAAAACAAGAGCACCGGTCATATGGTTTGGATATATTGTAGGTACCGGCAACTTGCATAGAACACAACACCTAATTGGTTGTGCGTAAACAAATATATTAAAAATAAATATTTTAATATTAAAAATCAAGTAGTATAAATTTAAAATTCAAAATATTTTTTATTTGATTACAATAAATTTCAAACAATCACAGAACTTAAATGTTTATCGAACGCACGCACATTTACAATTGTAGACGTTTATTGAACTTATTACATAGATACATTCATCTAACTATAAATTGTTGAACGTATACCTTTTAGAAATATGGTAGTCAATAAACTTTCTAATATCGTTTTTAAGTCATGGGTCGCTGAAAATACTATCCACAATTATTTACTAATGATTAGAATATTTGAGTGATCATCATAAAATTACATAAGAAAATGAAAAAAATTGTTTTTTTTAAGGAAACTTACGGGTCCAATCTGAAATTAAGATTGTCAGGAGGATCAACTAACAATGAAGGTAGAATTGAGATAAAAATAAATGGTGGTAAGTAGATCAACATATTTAAAAACCTTTTGAAGTGGCATTGCTTTTACTGGAATATCAATTTTAGGGGTACTAAATTAATTTTTTCCCACCTAAATTTTTTTTTATATTAAAATATATTGCACATGAGTACTCTAATTTAGTATTTCAAAATGTAATAACAGTATCAACTTAAATAATACACTAATACATGGAACAAATTTTTAATTTTTAATTATTGCTAAACAATATGATTTACAATTGAATTTCAGCTCTATAATAATTATAATTTGGTTTGAAATAGTATTAATTAGTTTCGTTCCGACTTAAATTTGGCAGTTCTCGAATATTTTAATGTTTTCTATTTGGTACGTGCATTTTTAGGTTGGGTAATTTGAAAAAAAAATTGACCTATGGACTTGTGTTCATGGTGAAAACGACTACCGTATTCAAAAATGTGCTATTTTTGTGTTAAAATTCTTGATATTATATTTTACATTTATAGCTTCGATGCGAAACTAAGAAGGTATTAATTTTACTATGATTTGTTTTTAGCTTCGATGGGAAGCTGAGAAGGTATTAGTTTTACCATGATGTGTTTTTTTTTTTGTGTCTGTTACCACTTTTTCACATCTCTCACCGAACGGATTTCTTTCAACGATATGTCAAAAGATCACAAATCGTATCTAGTCGAAGACATTACCCTTAAAAATTAAAAAAAATTCCCCCGTTCCCTGTAAATGGGGGAAACCTCCAAGAAAATTACAAATTTAAAAAACGCTAATTTTCGAAATTTTTTCAATTTTTTTTTACTAAAATATGCCGTAACTTTTTCAAAAATGAACATATCAATATAATTTTTTTTTTATAGATGCTTGATGTCTTAACCTATCATTTGATATATTTTTGTTGTAGATTTGACCCTTTATCTGCCCACAGGATAGGATTTAAAATGACAACTTTTTCACAAAAAATTAATTTTTTCAACTTAATTTTTGAAAATGTTTCGGAAGGTTTGACACATATATATATATATTAAATTAAAACTATTGTAATATACTTTATTATGGAAAAAAAAAATTTTGAACTTTATTTTATCTTCACGGTGAAAATGGCTACCGAATGCTATTTTTGTGTGAAAATTTTCGTTTTTATTTTTTACATTTTTAACTTTATAATGCTATAACCTATTGAAAAGTGTATGGATAAACACAATTTTTTTATGAGAAATAATATTTTTTAATAATCCCTTTTTCATTCGACATACTTTATCTTAATTAGGATATTAATAAGAAACTAGCAGATAATGTAGCTTTTGTAATTATCCAACAATTTTTTCAAATTAAACACTATTTAAAGATTTTCATCGAAACGTTTTTTTTTGTTTTATTTTAAATATTAATTATAAAATCTTTTATTATAAAATACCGCATATACTAATAACTTGTGCCTGGATTTTGTAATTCTTTACCCGTTGATTACTAATGAAAGAGTGGTTTTCAATTGATCTCCATTTTGCTCTTAAATAATTAATCCTTGCAAAATATTTCTTCAGGGCCAGTTTGATTTGGGTTGTTGATAATAAATTACCTTGATTGACCATCAGTTTTCTACCATACAGAACTAAATAAATGGACATAGTCAATGTTAATAAGTTTAATTAAGTCGAATACTCTATCTTCAGATCGTACTTTATCTAATGAGTTGATAATGATACTTGATAATAATTTAAACTTAATAATCCAGTCACAATAATCGGTAGCTGGTCATTGTAATATTGAAAATATCTCACACTTCATAATGGATGAAATTGAAATAATTACATCGACTAATACTAAATTTCACGTTAAAATTAAACAAAAATTGGACATATAATGCCATCATCATCTTTGTTACTACCGGAAATATTAGATATTAACTGCAATAAGAATATACCAGGGAATTCCAATTATATACTTAAATTGTTCCTCTTAAAAATATTCGTGCACCTAAAGCTTATAACAAATTCATTGTTGACACAAATGGTCCAACTCGCAGCAACCTTTCAACTGCATCTGTGACATTGTTGACATTTTTGTCTTCAGATATACGTCACTGCCATTCTTGAAAACAATGTTGCCAATCGCTTTCAGTTATCCCTTTTATAAGTTCTGCCGTTTTTATTTTTACGTCATCAACCGTTTGAAAATGGGTTCCTTTTAATAAACTTTTAATTTTTGGGAATAAGAAGAAGTCACAAGGAGCAAAGTCTGGCGAATACCGAGGATGTTGAAGTATAGAAATATTTTTTTCAGTTAAAAAACTTTGAATTGAAAATGTACTGATCATTTTCTTGGTAAAGAACCCATCCATTCTTCCACAGATTTGGTTGCTTTTTTCTAACACGTTCTCTTAATTTAATTAATATCTCTTTATAATATTAGTGGTTGACAGTTTGCCCACTAGGAACCCATTCAACAAAAATTATTCCTTTAATGTCAAAGAAAACAATGAGCATTGCTTTGAATTTCGACTTGCTCATTCGTGCCTTCTTCATTCTTGGAGAAGTTGGTGTCTTCCAATGCATGGATTGCCGTTTAGTTTCAGGATCATATGTAAAAATCCACGTTTTATCACACGTAATGATATTATTTATAAAAGATGGATCATCATTGATGATTTTTAAGGTTTCAGAACAAATTTCTTTGCGAAAAATTTTTGATCATTCGTCAAATTTTTAGGGACCATTTTAGCACACACTTTTTTCATATTTAATTTTTCAACTAAAATTTTACGAACAATTTCTCTATCAATGTTTACCATCTCTACTAAAGCTCTAACACTTAATCGACGATCTTGTCGAATAATTTTGTCACACCTCACAAAAATAGATATTATACAACATTTCAATAACTTAAATTTAAACTGGTCTACCAATAAGTTATATGAAATTATTTTGGATAGTTTTGATATTTATGTCCCTAAATTTATATTCAATCCTAACATAAATTGTAACATCACATGGTCAAATCCAGCCCTCAGAAAATTAATAAAATTAAAAAAAAAAGCTCACAAAGAATTAGAAATAACAAATTCTCAACAGGATTATTCAACTATTCCGAACTTCGGAAAAAATGCAAATCATTATATAGTCAAATTCATGCAAATTACCCACATAGCAATGAAATATTTCTAGAATATTCCTAGAATATTTATTTTTGATATTAAAATATTTCTAGAATATAACCAGAGTATATTGAAATATTCTCACAATGTTCTCAGAATATACTTTGGCAGCGAATATTACATTCTCACAATATTTTAAAGGTATATTTCTAAAATGTTATAAAAAATATATTGTGACAATATTTTTAAAATGTTTTATAAATATATTAAAAAAATGCAAAAAAATAGATCGCTACGCGGGATTTGAACCCTGTACTTCTAGCGCTTTGGACTCGTACGTGACCCATTGACACACAGGTTGCTTCGAAAGAAATAGGGTAAAAAAGACTATTTAAGGTAATTCAAATTGTTATTTGTCTGTTAAGTAATTTTTCTTGTTTAAAAAAATTCAAAGTAAATACAATTTTATATTCAATTTAGATTAGAAACATATAATTTTTTTGAAAATCGGCGATCCCATCACCATGATTTCTCCTTGTAAGTTAGAAACTGACTATTATTGTTGATAATATAGAAATATATTCTAACTATAATAAAAAAACTTTTTAGGATTTTTAGTTTCACAGGACAATAATAAGATATAATTGCGTTGATAAAACTAAAAAAATTTTAACTCGATAGGCCTGCAAATAATAGCAACAAGGGTTTTTTACTGTCCCTAACTTACTTAGCTTAATTGAATTAAGTTAATTAAAATTGATACTAATTAGAGAAAATGGCTGTTTACTTATTAAAGATTTAGGAATATGTATATATAATACATAAGTATTATATAACAAGATACCAATATCATCCAAAGATGTAACTAAAGGGAGAAAAGAGGATGGCTTGTGTCTCTTAAGTTACCTCAGTTGGCCAACAAGATATATATTTATAATATTTAAAAAATTATATTGATAATATATTCAACAAATATTTCAAGTTAAATATTCTATATTTATTTTAATTAATATATTTTCATAATATTTATAAGCAAATATTTAAAAAGATATTTTTTAAGCACATTGTAGAAATATTTTCGGTGTAATATACTGTATTTATTCTCTTTAATATATTATCAAAATATACATAAACAAATATTTAAAAAATTATATTGTGAGCATATTATGAAAATATTTCAATAGAATATATTTTTTATTATGTTTAAGAGATATTGTGACAATATTTTATTCAAAATATTTTAAAAAGTATTTTGTAAGAATATTTTGACAATATTAATATATTGAAATTGCTATGTGGGTACATACAAAAAATTGAAAATGTTGTAAATGTAAATCCTAAATCATTTTGGCATTATGTCCAGTCCTTAAGAACTAATAGATCAAATATACCTAATACAGTTTATCTTGATAAAGTTGTATCTAAAAATATCAATGAAACAACTGAACTATTTGCAAAATATTTCTTTTCTGTTTATACAGATTATTCTAATATAATTGATTTATATGACAGTTCATTAGTTGAGAGCAATCTCGATTTAAATTCATTACATATTTCAGAATTTGAAATTTATGTTATACTAGATTCATTAAGTGTTTATAAAGGTACTGGCCTTGATGGAATCCCTTCGTCATTTTTAAAGGCTTATAAGTTAGTTTTAGTCATACCACTACATTATTTATTTAATTTATCACTTTTTAGTGGATAATTACTGAATATTTGGAAAATATCTTATAGTACTTCTATTTATAAATCTTTTAATAAAAGTAATATTCGAAACTACCACCCAATATCAAAATTATAACTCATTCCTAAATTATTTGAAGCCTTTAATACTAAAAAGTTGACAAACATTTTAAATAATCATATAAGTCCACACCAGCATGGTTTTTTGCCTAAACATTCTGTTTTAACAA